CCAACGACATCCTATACAACAAATTCAACCAGCTCCAGCAAGTTAACGGAACGCATGTCAAGCCAATCACTGATGTGGCTACGGACCTAATAATGTATAAGGACCGGATGGAGAGAGGAAGTATCTTCAAATACATACTGAAGCGACAATTCTATGACACCATGTACCCTACCCTCCGGCGAGAAGTAGAACCACTCGAGGAAGATGGCGATGATATTGCAGTAATAATTGCAAGAGCAGAACGGAAGGACGCTATCCTCCATGAGACTAAGGCCTATAAAACACAGACATACTCTAGTAGGAACAGCCAGCCATGACATAAAGCCTCCAGCCACTCTGAAGACGATACCCCACGGGTTTTCAAGAAGAAAACAAAATCCTCCAAAGAATCGAGACGGCAAAAGGGTGAATGCTTTGAATGTGGAAAAACAGGACACATGGCAAAGAACTGCCGTACGAAGAAAGGGAAAGGAAAGGCAATTAAGCAAGAGGCGTCGGCCAACAATGTTGAAAGCGATAACGCCCAATCCAGTGATTATGAAGAAATCCATATCGGATATATCGATGTGGAATGCAACAGTGTTCGACCTCCGGGTACATTCAAAGCACACACGGCTCTGGAAGGTACTATCCTGATTAATGGCAAAAGGGCTCTAGTCCTATTCGACACTGGCGCAATTGGAAGAGATTTGATCAGTAATGCCTTTGTCTCTGTCCATGGACTCCCCACTCGAGACCTTAACCAACCCATACCAGTCAATATGGTAGTAAAAGGATCACGATCCACAAGTCATAGAACCTGTAGTGCGACCATCCGACTTGGTTCGGCAGTCCTACCCCACCAGGAAATGCTGGTTGGAAATTTAGCCAAATACGATGCCCTAATAGGCATGCCCTTCCTGAATCGCCACAAACCTATAATCAGGTGTGGGGAATCAACTATCGATTTCCCAGATCAGAAGGTCAGAGTCTCATGCAAACCAACAAGCGGAGAATACCGAGCCGCAGTCTGTGAAACAACTGCCCTACGAATGAGGTCATGGGTTTTGAGCAGGTGACCACTTTGGTCACATGATTAGTTTGTTATGATTTGGTTTCGCACATGTGACCACTTTGGGTCACATGACTATAGACAGGAAGAACACTATATAAGGAGGCCGATGCGGCTAAGAAGGATAGGTTCTTCATACTTTGTTCTAAGTACTCTTCCTACTTATTACTTTAACGAATATAAAACACCTTTACAATCTTTATCTTTATTGCAACATTATCGTTACCCCAAGGAAAGCTCTTCATGAAGGAGAGTTAGAGAAAGCTTACGATAGGAGTTCCCGATGGAAGACAGAGGTCTTGTACTATTGGCAACCTAGGCAGAGGCCTAGTACTATCATAAGACTAAGGAAAGAAACATAAGAAGAAGAGAAGTATCATTCCCCATCGCCAAGAACTAACTATCTGAGGAGGAATCATTACAGTTAGTTACAAACTACGTGTTTTTTCATACTAGTATACGGCATCAATACGATGTGGTTCAACCAAATTGCGAGAGCCTAGCAGAGATAAAGTAGCGAATTACTTCAAGATACCTGTTGGGAATCTTGCACGATGAAAAAAAGAAGAAAAAGAGGGAAAGTACGAGGCCCAAACAAGGGAGTAGCGGTGGGCTGTAGGAGGAGGACAATAACAACAGTGGAAGGAGATAGAGCGAGAACTATTTCTCCAACTTTGGAAGCAAAGGGCTTTCAGAAGACTGGTTAGAAGGGGGTGGTTTCGGAGAGCAAGCGAAGAGATTTTTGCAAAGCTCTATCCTGAGAGAGATCCAAAGGAGTTCTGCTTCTCCCATAGATGGTTTTGTAACTTTTTATCCTGACATCAAATTAGTTTAAGATCTGTAACTAATATTGCAAGTAAACTTCCTACTGACTTTGGAGATGTCATACTTACCTGGATGCGGTATAATCGACAGAATTCACAGCTGTGAGAGGGTGAGCGACAAAGTCAAGGGGCTGTGAGGCAGTATCGTCTGCAAAATATATGTAATATGGATCAGATACCTCTTCCATTTGAGTATTTAGAGAGACAGACTTACAACGTTATTGGAGATAAAACTATTTGGCTTCAGTCAACGAGATCTGGCTAGAACAAGAGACAAGGAATGATTCAACTTACAATCTTTGCTGATGGTATTCCGTGGGTTGCTCCTCTTATTTTCTTTAGAGGGAGAGGGATTGGACCATCAATCCTAGCAGAGTAGAAGCTCTACGATCCAAGGGTGGTGGTGAAATTCAATCCTACTGCTTATGCTAATTCAACCAATATGGTTGAATGGCTCAAAACCCAACTTGTTCCGGTACTTGATTGGCAGCCGACTCTTCTTGCTCTCGATCTCTTTGCTGAGCACAAGACAGATAAAGTTCTCGATACCTTCAAAGCTCACGATATCACAGTGAGTGTAATACCTGCAGGCTGCACTGGGATTGTGCAGCCTCTCGATGTGTCTGTAAATCGACCCTTTAAAGATATATTAAAAGTTAGTTGAAATTCAAAAAAAATCAAATTACAATTCTAATATTACAACATATAGGAGACATTAGAAATAAAGCTCACAGATATCGAAGATGAGGAGGAGAAAATACTTACTGCAGGGGGTGTACTGTGAGGGAGTATAGTTGGTCGGCGAAGGGTGGTAACTATATGGGCAGTTGGGGAAGCATTGGAGCAATTTTTGGTAGAGCGGATAGAGGTTGTTCAAAAGGCCTTTCGGGTAGTTGGTC